TTTTACATCCAGATATGTATCAAAGTATAAGGTTAACGCGACTTCCATAGGTCAAATGAAGGTAAAGAAACCACCCCTACCAAACCCCAAGCAGGCTGCCATCTATTGGTGTCATGGAAAACCAATTAGTACCGAAGTCTCCGCTACAAGTCGCCACCTACACTGCAAAGTGCACCACTCTGTTTTATCACACCTAACAGGGAAAATCTAATCAAGATATATAAAAATGTGTCTGCAAACATTTCGTATTTTTTCAGGCCTCTCAATTTAGCAGACGCTTTTAATTCTCACTCGTATACTTATTTTATTACAGTAAAAGCTATCGTCATTTTCATTATTAGAAAATAATATGAAGTAGAAAAAATGACTGGAAGAATAAAAATAATTCTAATCAAATTCGTTAGCTTTATTGTACAAATATCTAAAGAAATTAACGAATGTTCTTACTACATACATAATAACGATGCCAATTTGTGTAGGTAGCATTTAATGCTAATTTATTTTTTATTTGACTTGTATCAAATGAATAAGAAATGTAGGAAACTTTTATAGGTTTTCAAGGAGCGTTTTGCTTTGCTTTTACGAGTTTGTAGCAATCACGTGGTCAATCGCGTGTGCGTACGCATGCATACGAAAGTACCGCGCTGTGAAGTTTTCTTGCTCCAACATTGTCTAATATAATTGTTGTATCAGATGTATTTCAAGCTTCGCGGGACGTAAAAAAAATTTGCAATGGCAGAAGAAAAAAGTGAAAGGTACGAGACGCTTATTGATTCATCCCACAATACTATTTTTCACATCTGTATCGTATACCGGCTTATCGAACAAAATGAGGGTTATGTTTTTGTCATTCCCGCTTAATTGTTGTCAAACAATTCGAAAAGTTTAAAGTTCAAATAATAGAAATATTTGTAGATACGAAAGCAAAGGATCCTGAGAAATATAGCGTGTAAAAATGAGAAAAACTCGTGAATATTATGTGGGTGATTCATGAAGCCAAAGTCTCAATAATCTGAAACTTTATAAATTAATGATGTAGAAATCAACATATTTAAGCAATCCAAGAATTCTGGCATGTGTGAGAACGCAAGGATTAAAAAAGAAACTTGAATATATACGAGACTTTGATCTAAGAATTTAAGGAACCAAGAAACTTCAAAATAAATACATAATATATAAGTGATATTTCAATATTCACGTTCGAATTTTAATCTTTAACGAATTACTTGATATTGAAGATCAACAATTCTTTCAGTCCAAATAATAAGCCAGAGCAGACAGAGGTTCCTGAAGATAAGGCAGAAACGAAGCTTGATGAGAAGACTGAGCCAAAGGCAGGATGTAGCAAACAAGATGAGCCGGCTGAAAAGGCAGGACGAATTGGGAACAATGACACTGGGAACTGTTATTGGTAATGATCTGTAACAGATATTTTCATACTACATCTCTTATAAAGCTATTCTGGCACTCTCATACTGTTATTCTTACAGTGGTAAGGAAAGGAATCCGAATATCGTCGAGCTGCTTTGTGCCAGTTGCTCGCGTTGGTTTCACGAGTCCTGTATTGGGTACCAGCTGGGAAAACTTGTGCCATTCATGGTGAACTACACATTCATATGCAAGAATTGCTCGCAGACTGGCTTGGAATACTACAAGAAAAACCAAGCATGTGAGTATATCTGTGCATATACAAGGTGAGACATTAATACTACCACCTTGAATATCTTTAAAACATGAAAGTAGGAGAAAATTTTAACAGAAATTGCATCGATACCGGGTCATCGTTTTGAACACTTTTTCAATGTAAATTTCTTTCATTTTTACTTAGTCGCTATAGTACCAAAGGGTAACTTCCCCGTGAACATAAATCAACAGTAGTAATAATAATATCAACTGTAAAATCGCGATTATATGGTCTACGAGCAATTTGTGTGCAGTAAAATACGTTTGTTCATCCGTAAGTTCACGCTTTCGTTCGTTCTTTCAGCGTTTCCGCAGATGTGCGTGACGGCGATCGCGAATCTGCTGCAGATGAGCCAAAAGAAGAACGAGCAAAGGAATCTTTTCCACAAGGACAGAGACATCATACCGTTCATCGACTGCCACTGGGAGAGCATGACTACGATGCCCCGTAGAGTCACTCAGTCTTGGCACGCTACGGTACGCTTCCGACGGAATCTTTTTCAGGCTGCAATCGGCTCTCTGCAATTATAATCTCATCTCTGAGTACACGATCTTGTCCAGATTCACAGGGCATTGCTCAAAGACGTCGGCACACTATTCACGATGGACGAGAACTCTTCCGAGGGTCAGGTGTTCGGTCTGGTCAGCCCCGAGTTCACATCGATCAAACCGAATTACGAGGCGATGATCAAGGGTGGTCAGCTAAAAGTCACGGAAATGGGGGTGCAACACGTTGGTACGCGCCACCTTTTCGCGTTGAAAATTCAGAGTTACAGCTGGATAATTAATATCGATAATTGAAACCTACTAAGATAGCGTGTTGGTGTACAGTCAGATCTTTGCCCATCAAGATCCAGATTGACTCCAGAGTGCACGTGCAGACTTTGACGATTTACTTCGCCGAGTCATCTTGCATATTTGGATACGGATATATTTTCGTTTGAATTTTTCTGCTTTACCAGCTTTATCTCCCCTATCTCTTCAATCGGAAGAGAGTCAGACAAGGCAGGCCCGTCACTGTGTGTCGAGAGCTCTTCATGAAAGCTGCGTGTCAGCCTGTATTTAATTTGCTGAGCTTTCGCTTGAACTCCCGTCTTTTCGCGAATTCATCGAACGCAACGCGCTTCCCAGAACTCGTAGCTACGTGCGCGAGTAAATCTGTCACCGCTTATCTTATCGCGGGTACAATCGCCAACTCGCTATCAGAGAAACTACCCAAGCTTTAATCACGACAGAGAGAAATCGGCTGGATAAACTTTGCCCTAAGATACAACTCCACTACAAAGCCGCGCTACGTCGCCTTTGATATTGCCTCTCTCCTCGCGCCTTTTTTTTTTCCACGCTATTATCTAAACGCGCGACTTATTGTCGCAGCGTAAACCGATTGATCGGCTCGGAGAAAGTATCGAATCATCGATCTCGTTCCGGGCGCGAATGCACCGGGACGAGCGAAATAAAGGGAGGAGGATCATCGAGGTCGACGTGCAGCCGGCTCGCAAGCTGCTCAAGATAGCGTATTAAGATACCGTAATGGAACGTGCAGTGCCGCTCAGCGGAGGATGGCGAGGTCGCAGTACAAAGCGCAAAATCCCGGGCGAGGGCACAGGCACAAGCTCCGGGAAGAAAGGACGAGGTTCCGACATGGCAGCGCCCAAGCTGCCGGCCCACGGGTACCCGCTGGAACATCCCTTCAATAAAGACGGATACAGGTACATCCTGGCGGAACCGGATCCCCACGCACCTTTCCGACAGGTATACACTTTGCCTCGATTGTCGTCGTTCGATAATAATTAAAAAAAAACAAAAACAAATGGAGAAAACAGTTTTTGGAGATACTTATAATAATTTAGTCGACATATTTGACATGCCATTGTCCGCCTTCAGACGTATCTTGATTTCTTTCTTATTTTTTCCTGTTTCTTTGGCGTTCACGAATGGCTCTTGTACGGATACCAAAGGGATTTATTTCCCCGTCAACCGATGAAACAAATAAAACTGGAGAAATGAACAAATTCTCGAAGTATGAAATCATTGCCTGCAACGGAAAGAATAGCTCGATGAGCGCTTAATGATCATTGGTCCTGATTGGTGGTAGATTCTCTTGGGTCTGTCAAGAACTTAAAAGAATACTCTAGTCACAGACAATAATCACTAGTTCAACTTGACTTCTTTTTCCGTTAAACGCAGCAATTGTCGATTGTAACATGACGGTTGATTTTGCGCACAGGAGTTTGACGAGAGCAGCGATTGGGCCGGCAAACCCATACCCGGATGGCTTTACCGCGCTTTAAGCCCGAGTTCAGTGCTATTGGCATTGCATGACCGCGCTCCACAGCTCAAGGTTTCCGAAGATAGACTAGCGGTCACCGGCGAGAAGGGATACTGCATGATCCGAGCCACTCACTGTACGTCAAAGAGCAATCAGCAAGCAATCAGCAGTGTGTCGATTTTTTTTTGAGATACGCGCAATCGACCCGCATGGATCTTATCTAGATTAATCTAGATAACGTTCGGCTTCAGAACGCTGCGGATACTTGGATTGTTTCGTTTACACGTTGATTAATACGTTGTAGGTGTAAGCAGGGGCACCTGGTACTGGGAGGCCACGATTGAAGAAATGCCGGAGGGATCCGCCACGAGGCTCGGATGGGGACAAGAATACGCGAATCTGCAGACCCCGCTTGGTTATGATAAATTTGGATACTCTTGGAGATCACGGTATCGTTCTTTGATGGTCGCACAATGTCGGCAAAGTTTCCTATTGAAGGATGCTTGAAATCATCTTTGATTCACATATATCCTTCCCGTTAAGGCTATTTAAACAAACTGTACAAAGCATATGTACAAATAATATATTTATTTAAATTTAAATTCTTTTATTTAAATAGAATAATTACTTTTACACAAATTTAGCATAAACGAGATTTTAAGAAAACATATTTTCTCATTTAAAAAATAATTTTTCTCTGAGTGAAAAAAAAAATATATATAGGGTGGTCATTTTAATATTACCATCTAAATATCTTTATTTTTTTACGTCTTATAAAAAAATGTTTAGGCAAATATTTGTAGGGAAACATAAGGTGGTTATTTTAACTTCATTGTATAGTCAATAGTTAAGGTAATTTCATGATCAACTTCATCTTTTTTACGGAATCATAGTTTTTTTTTACACATTGATTCTTTTTTTACAAATCGATTCTTCTGTTTATTTTGTGTGTGAAAATATTAGGATAAGATTATCGAAAAATGCATATTTTTTAAAAATATTTTACTTGAAAAATTTATTTCTTTTATCTCTTTATTGTTTTATTATATTATTATACGAGTTTTCACACACATACACAACATGTATTCTCGTGTAAAAAGAAAGAAAGAAAGTATTAACAAGTTTCTTGATTAACAGGAAAGGTACACGGTTTCACGAGAGCAAAGGTAAACACTTCAGTGACGGTTACGGTGAAGGCGACACTTTGGGCTTCCTGATAGTTCTTCCAAACACGCACGATGCGTCGCACATACCGAAAACTTACAAAGACCGGGTAAGCGCGACATTGCAGAACTAGATTGTCAGGATATTTCCCTTATACTTCCAGAGTAAATTCGATTTCGCGGCAAGAGCAATCCTGAGACTTTCCGAGAGCGATCGATCTCTAGACATCTCCGTGAATTAATTCGCATTTTCCGATTCCCACATCAGCCTTTAGTGAAGTTCAAGAGCCATCTGTATTATGAAGAAAAGGACCAAGTGACGGAGGCAGTCAAGGCCCTGAAACCGATGGAAGGTAGCAAGATTGTATTTTATAAGAATGGTGTCAACCAAGGTGACGCTTTTCACGACATCAACAAGGGCGCTTACTACCCCGGAGTTGCGATCTTCAAAAGCGCGACGGTGTCCGTTAATTTTGGGCCAAACTTTAAATGTCCGCCGAGTGACGTCACGTTCAGAGGTGTAAGTATATTGACACATCTCTCGCTCGACTCGACACGTTCGCTACCAGAGTTAAATATTTTATATTTTTTACACATTATGTAAAAATTATTCAATCTGCTGTTCAATGTTATGCGTGCATACAAGCCCAAATATGTATATTTTTAATTTAAGCCTGGATGTGTTCATTCGATCGCAATTGTTCACTCAAATCTATGGTTTTGAAAACTCGAGAAAACCTCCGGTTTTTTTTTTCAAATTTTCTGCAGATTTTTTCGGAGTTTTCCCAGTGAAAGTTTATTGTTTAAAAAATTCACGTGTGTTCGGTCAAAAACTGCCACATTTCTTTTCGTAAAGAAGATAATTGCGTGCGCTTTACTGAAGTTAAATAAAGTTAATATGTTATATGTTAAGCAATAACATATTACCTTCAAATAATTATTATATATTATATATTATAATATTATATATTATATTATATATTATATATTATTATTACATATTATAATCGAATACATTGTGAACAAATATATAATGTTTAATAGTAGATAAATTATCATATCAATTATATATATATTTAATAATATAATATTATTATTATACCGGAATAAAATTTTTCTAAACCAATTTTTCTACCCCTGAGAAAGAAGCTGAGAAAATCTGAGAAAAAAAAACCGATTTTTCAATTATGCTCAAGACATAAACGCACGTTGGTTTTAACCTTATTCGTGTCATTATGAACTTGATACAGATACACGAACGTTCCGACAATTTTGGGAGTCATTGTTAAGTTATGTTAACGTTAATTGGATCGCGTGTGATTACCGCAGATGCACGAAAGGGCGGAGGAGGCGATAGCCGAGCAGTCAATGGCGGACATGCTTTATCTCATGGAGAACGAGGGAAAACTAAGACTGGACACTTTCTCCTTGTGACATTAGTGCACTTTTTTATTTTTGTCATTTTCATTATTCATTATGCAGCTCCATCGCAGATCGCGGCGTTATCCGGAACTTGTCGTCTCTAAATCACGCGAAATTGTTTTTTTTTTAATTCTCAAAATCTTTTTTACTCGCAACAAATGTCTCTGATTTCGATGTAGAAAATTTCTGTCGGGAGAGTCTCGCTCGGATTGCCTACTAGTATACTAGTATATTAACGGGCTGTACAATATTGTTGGATGTACATATAACTGCAATTGCGGAAAGTAAAAGCAACGGCCAGTGAGAGCCTGAAACGCTGGTGTGTCTCAATTTAATTTTACAATTAAATAAGGTCAATTTCATTTTTATTAAATTAAATTCCTTCACACATTATTTTAAACGAAAATTTTTCGAAAAGTATGTTAAACCTCCACCATTTTACGTATATTACATTGTTTTCGTCAATTCCTTAGTGCTTAGCAAAGTGACTTTTCCCGAATAAAGTTGGATTTTCGCCGTAAGAAATTTGAGACATATAACGGAGATATTAAAGCAAGAAAAACTTTTCACTTTTTACACGTTATTTGATGTTTTGTTTAATTGCGTAAGAAACATCATATGCAATGATTTTATTCAACAAGTGCAAAACATTGTTCATATGTAAATGTCAGCGAGATACGTTTTTGTTGTGATACTTATGCCGCGTAAGTTTTTCTTGCGCTCTACGTTATTATTCTTAATTAATCATTAAACGCTATTGAATATTATTTTCCGAAGCCACCTCTGCAAGCGGGACTCGCTGCTACCGTTTTGTTACTGGCTGTCCATTGCTCTGGTGTCTTTGCCTTGAAAGATAACAACTTAATGATATATGTGACAACAGAAACATGAATTTATTCCAATCTACTGATAACGAATTCGTGTGACTGAAGATATTTCATATTTTCCGCGAAGATTGAATTAATAATCAATGGTCATCACACTTACTACTATTGACAGAGCGTGTATGTGTTCTTCCATTTCCGTTTGCAGCAAGTCATATATCATCTGGTGTCGCTAAATTAATAATCAATTCAGATATATCTTCTATTAACATTACTTGCAATAACGTATAATTTTATAATTATTAATTTTGCAGACAATCAAACTTACAAAATGAAAATCAAATGTCACGTATTTTGTACTTTATTTGTGTGTCATGCTAATAACATTATTTATTTTTACACAATCTATTTTCGTAAACATTGACGTTTACACTATACTCGGTGTTTTTGCAATTAACGAAAACAATTTGTCAGATTCGATGGAGTTGTAACAGAATGTCTGATAATTGAGGGACGTGAGTATCTGATGATATCTACCTTGAGGAGCGGCTGTTTGTCAAATTTCTCAGAAACAACTATAACCTTGAAATGTGACTCTGTGCCTTTGGGTACGTTGTGCATGTAAGACTCATTAATGACATCATAGTGCTGCGGTTCCAGCCCAGTTTCTAGTTTCTTCCTGATAGAACTCTCCACAGGCCTACTCATTACTTCACTGCTACTCATGTTTTGCCAACGAAATAAGCTGTAATCTGTATGCAATATAAAAATTTTGTACTTGTGTTTACATACATATTTGTCGTTCTTGTATAAATGATTAAAGTAAATGATAAATGTTTATATATATATATATATATATATAAAATATTTGTTCAACCTTATCATATTGATATATATATATATATAATGGTTTTTTAAGAAAAAATATGGAAGGACAAATATGATTACTGTAGTGTATTAAAGTTCAGAAACGAGAGTCTTTCAAATGTATACTAGAATATACTAGAGGTATAAAAAGTAGGCCTAATAATTTATGAGCAATAATACTGTACTACAAGTAAATTCAATTGTATAATTAAGAAAACATGTTAGTCGAAGAGGTCTGTCTCAAGAACTGTCTTTCTTTGAGTCTTCCCATGTGTTGTAGACTGCGTATGCGTCATTTTATATAAACTTTTACACTTCCGATCGATTAAGCCATTGTACACACACAAGCAACAAATTTATAAATGAAACGACGTGTAGCACGACGAGGAGATAATAAAGATGTAATTAATTTCGCAAAGAAAGTATAGTTGTTGATCAAGTTGACATTATTTTTGCAGAAAACGTGAAGTGGTTTCGATTATGCTAGTGTACTTACTTTTTCCGATTAGTAATTTACTCAGCGATCTTGCGTTATACATTCACCAACGATTATTTATATTCACGATGTTCACGCGAGGCCTCTTCGATTTTCACGCTTGCTTCCTTGACACGCTAGGTTAACTCGTCTTCGGATTAAACAGGTCAAGTTGGGTTAGATTAGGTTAGGTTTCCTCGTACCACGTGATATCACATGACAATGATTCGCGATAACTTTCGGAGCGATTCGATTTCCTCGAATATTTTAATTTAGCGTAAAATATCTGACCGTTCAACCTTATCATATTGATGAAGAAAACAGAACATCACGATGTTTTCATGGAAAAGAAAGGACTCGCCTGGAGTGGATCAATAAGTACAAGTACAGTTCGGTGGTTTTAGGACCGTTCTGTTGATACGATTCGCGCGTAAACTTAAGAATCAAAAGATCTCTTTATTTGTAACAGCTTCTTACTACTTTATTTGACATCATTATTCGTATTCGGACAGGAAAGAGAAAGCTGCGCCGGTCGTGTTTCTCGTCTGGTTGTTACAGCTACAATATTTCATCGAAATATTAACCGAATGAGTGACTAGCGACGGGGAGCGCGCAGCCCCGTCCTGATACATATTTGCTATTATTTACAAAATAGGGAGAAAAAACGAGAACAATTTGCTATAACAATCTTCACTGTATGCGGTCACGTCGTCGAATCGAATCTCGCGAAGGCAGTAGAAGAACCATTCCCGAATGCAACTTCGGTTTAACGTACCGACAGAGACTAAAGTTTTGCAAATTACGAATTCCGTCACTTAATTCTACGCGGAGATTTTGCTCAGAACTCCTAAACATCGATTGACGAAGAGAGCGACATTGACATTGCATTCAGAAGTTAAAAATAGTCTACGTTCCGCATTAAATTACATCGCGTGTTTTCTGGGAAAATTTCACCCGGGTTGTAATCGTTATAATTATTGTTGGATTTTGTTTCATCTCCCCCGTATTTTTCCTTCCCAACCAAAACGTATTTATCGGGTAACCGATCATCTACTGACTTCGCGAAAGCCGAGTTTTAAACAAGTTGGTCCTCTGATTGTCATAAAATTACTTACAAATGTACAGTAACATAGCGCGTGAAGTCAGTTGGACAACGTTTACAAAATTAGATCCTGTTTCTTTCTTGCAATTTTGTCGGACGATTTCCAAAGAGTAAGTTGCGTCCGTTCAAAAGCATGTCGTTTAATCGCTGTCGCGAGAAATCTCGTCGGTTTCGCCCTTACAATTAGCTCTAAAAATCGACGGGTCGTTTGTTATCCTATTTACACTCTACAATACTATAGCGAGGATCGCGGTCCTCCTCGATCCGTCCGCCGAAGGCCTGCGGATTTCCGCGAGGAACACACCAGCAAAACGTGTGTGTCCGCATCGGCGAAGAAAGCTTTCGAATCGAAAAAGTTGAAATACTAGAAATACTGGCCAAGTAACAGAATGCAAACGGTTGCCGTGGAAAAGAAAATCGGCTGGTCTTACAAGCGGTTCGCCAACTGCGAATAATTACCGGGGGCAACTTCCGATTGCGAATTTTTTTTTTTTTTTTCATCGCTCCGCACACTCTCTTCGGGCGCGGCACACGTTTTCGTTTCTGTGCGTTTCTTCGTGCCGATACCGATCGCGCATCGGTGAAAGCCGCAGGACTCGCACAATCGAACGTCGCTCCTCCGCCGATTACCATAAATTAATGAATCGCTGGCGCGAGAAGCTCTTTTCATGGCGTTGCGACGCCGCTCAACCCTTCAATCGATAAGCTTAACCCTTCGATCGTATCCGCTCGATTACCTACGAAATCCCCACTTACGAAAAAGAAGAACGATCGAAACGAGTGAAAAAAAGAAAAAAAAAGGAAACAAAAACACACAAAGACCTAACCGAGGCAACTCTTATGACATCGTCGATAATCGTTTAATTACTGAATTACGTATTATCACAGTAATTAAAAACGTACTGCGAATAGAGAACGCATAAATAATCGCCTAGTTTTATGTAACACACGAATAACTTTCGACAGATACTTTCCCCTTCTTTTCTTGCGTTTCTTCTTCTTTCTTGCCTTTTTTTCGCTCCCTTTGCTTTCGTTTCCCGTCGGTGACTCTACGATTCCTCGGAGTAGCCGCGATATCCACTTCATTCTCGCCGGCTGCGCCGAGGTATTGGTCAAATACCGTTTAAAGGGTCAACGCGAGCGCGCACGAGTGAAATAATACGTCAGCGTCGCGATAGTTGCGAGCTCAATATGAGCCGTACTGTGTTTATGTCTGTGTTGGTATGCGTGTGTAATAATAGTTTTGATAATCTTAAATTGGCCTAACTTACCACTACGAGGCGCCGCGCATTATTGTTCCCCCGTCCTATCTCATCCCTCTTTTGCTGCCATTCTGCGGGAAGACCCTTCGGATTTTTCAAACCCTTCCGGGCTCCCCGAGGATTTCGTAATATTAGGAACACCACAGTTCGCCTGTTGATCGGGTTATCTCTCTCTCTCTCTCTCTCTGTACACAATGTTCGCTATGTGTTGCTAGCGGAGAACTATTTACCATTCGACATCCCGCGGGTTTCGAGTCCCTTTGACATTTCACTCGATACAATATCTACGTCGGCGGCCTCGGCGACAGCTAATTACGAGCGAGCGAGCGAACGGGCGATCGACAACGGGGTGAGCGGGCAGTCCAGCCCGTCGAGGGGGAAATTCGCGGGCGTGTAAAGTCCGAGGGAATCGAGTCTACTCGATCGTGTCAGCACCGCTTCAAGGGCAACGAGGCCGCCTCACGTAGACTCGATTCGGACGACACGCTTTGCACGTGACTGGACGCAACACGTTGTTTCGTTCCGTTCAGGGATAAAGCGGATAACATCCTCCATGTTCCCCTCATCATCGTACGACTAGTTTGCACTTCAAGTAGTAAAATACGCACGCTACCTCGTTCCTAATACTTAAAGCTTCCCAGCTGGATTCCCCGCGGAGGCGCGGCCTTCTCGCTCACCCTGCGAGTTACGAGGCGCGATCGGGAGCCCCGACCGGGAGACGGAGAAGGAAATGAAAACCGAGAGCTGCCTCTTCTCTCACGGATTTTCTATTCTTCCAACTGCTATTGTACTTCCCACCGGGAAGGCTACTCAGAGTCGTTGTCACGCTTGAACCGTCGGAACTTTCTTCCGGTTGTAACTGTTATACATAATGGAAAATTGATAACTGAAAGGTCAGAACACGCGATCCTCTTCCCGCTACCGACGATCACCGTGAGATAATCACCGGGTCTCAGAACTGCAGGTCGGCCGACTACCAGATGTTGATTGTTCGGCCGAACTTCGTCACAGAGCGAAAGAGGTTAAAGGAAGTCCGAAGGGTTAACCGACTTGAGAAAGAGATCTCCGGTCGTTAATATCCCGGGGACGTTCGAGGAGTCGTTCTATGTATAGAACACAAGCCCTAGAGAACTTCAGGCAGCTTTCCTTTTCCTTTCCTTCTTCCTTCCCGCGGGAGGTCCCCGGCAAGTCGAACGTGATCGTTCAATCGCGCGCTGCTCGCACCTAACACGCAGTCCAGCCGATCGCGCTAATACTAATAATCGGTTAGCCGCGAAGTACGGCGGTTCTCTCTCTCTCTCTCTCGCTCTCGCCTATACTAATCTCGCGCGCAGAAAGGTCTACGCGCACGCAGAAGCTACGAGGTAACTCGCTTTGTCGCACCCATATATGTGTCGCGATTTCTCTCGCGTTATCAGTCTCATAAAAGAAAGGCGCTCTCGTGGAATAAAAGAAGGCACTTGGGTTGCATCCTCTTCAGGCACTTCCTGATATGTCACCGGACCAGACGCGCCACCTTCCTCCAAGGCCCCTCCTCCTCCCTCCTCGAATCCTTATTCATCGTTTCGTCGAACTCAACGAAGCTGAATCCATCCGTGATCATCATGCGATGTCAAGCCCTCTTCATACTCCGCACCGAACCCTCTTGCACTTTCCATCCGCGTCTGTCTGACTTCCCTTGTCCGGACTGGGTGCACTCAGATAAGGCCCGCGGCCGTCAGTACACGTAGATGGTCTTCAGCTGGTCCTTCAGCTCGGGGGGAATGGCGCAGGTCTCCGACTCCGGTTTCCGCTTCACCAGCCGACGCCAGCGCCCGCCGATGTTCTTGCGGAAACCCTTCGCGAATCCAGACCGGTCCGGCGGTAAACCGTGTACAAGGTTATCCTGTAACAACAAAAGGGAGCCCCGTTTTCACTTGGTGTTATATTATTCGACCCACCTCCGCGTCGTTAATCGACCGGTCGAGTTATCCTATCCTAAGAGATACGCACGGAGACTCGCGTTATCTCGCTTAGATATCACGCGACGAAACTATTGTCCCGGTAACACCCGAGGAACGACGTCCTTTATCGCGACTCGCTCTTCGCTCTCGCCCTCGAAATTCCCCATGTATTTTATCAACCCTGAAATACCAGAATTACCCTCCCTCCTCAGTTTCTCATCCCACCGATTTCCACTTTGTTAAATATCTCGACGGTGTTCGGTAACAAGCTAGTTTCTCAGTTAAAACTTCGAAATTTAACAACTTCTGACTTGGCTCATTTTCTAAACGAGTCAACTTCGAACTTAAACTACTTAATTCGAGATGCATTCATTTGAATTCATTAACTTTTGTTGTTTACAATTATTGACCGTCAACAGCGAGAACGAATTCAGGCCGCCTGATATCTCGAGGAGATCCGAAAAGTTCGACCTGAGACAATGAAGGGGGAAGGGGAGGGACCTCGTGACCTGCGTCTACCTCTTACGACAGCGGATTTTCCGATGGAGGTCCCCTTCGTTTATTCGACACGGCGCAACGAGCGGATGTTTGATGGTTGTGCAATAGTTCTACCGGTTTAAATCCGCTGCAAATCACCATTGTTGGCCGAAGCCGACGGCGGCGGCTATATGGAGGAGCTACTCGGACCTGCCCAGAGCTGCCAGCAGGCGGCAGGCAACGGAGAAACGTTATTTCGTGAACGTCTCGACAGCTGCACCCTATTCGGGGCCCGGCTGGTGAGCGGCGGTAGGTAGACGCCCACCAGGGACGCTAAATTTAGCGTCAGGCCGGAGAAGCGCCGAGAGCTGCACCCATTTCGCCAGTGTATTTATATACATATTCTGCATGCGTGTGTATGTGCGTGTGTACGTGTGTGGGTCGCTTTATTACTTTAGAAAATAATTTTATCCCCGCGCCCCTTGCATTTATTCGGTCTCGTCGTGACGCGCGCCAGGGGATTGCACGATTTGTATCGTAATCTAATTTCTTTTTAATTAGCGACGCGTTATTAATATTATCTTCCTCTTTCTTTCTCTCTCTCGCGCGTGATATCTCACGGAATCTATTTCGAGCGCGCCAAATAAAGCCTTCCGACTTCCGACGGCCGGTCGCTAAATAAAGAAACTAATCTCCTTAATTGTTATTGCCCTTGTGAGCCCGCGCGTGCGAATATTATCCACGGGGTCGATAAATTGCGCGGCGGTCTAATTGGAGCGACGACAAATTAATTAATCCCTAAGGCGTTCCGTTTTATTTTTCTCACTCTCCCTCTCTCCCTCTCTCGCCCTTCCTTTTTCCTACGCGACGACATCGGACGAGTACAGCGGAATTGAAAGAAACAACGTCGCTCTATACATCACGATCGAATCGGCTCCTCCACGTTCCAGGTTAGGGCGGTAAAAAAGCGCGCCGCAGCTGCAACCAATCAACGAGCGCGACTCGACCGGCGGGAATAATCGATCGTCTCCAAAGTGGCGTACGGAGCGTGAAACCGCGATGGCCGCGGGTCACTGTCCCGACCATCGATTGACGAAGGTACTTACTATCCCCCCCCACCCCTAGAGTATTGTAAAGGGTTGTATGAGGAAAAAATTAATTAAGGTCTTTCTGTTGCTTTTGTGAAAAAAAAGGTCACACCGTTTCGGAGAAATATGTCAAAAAGATATCGTGTTCCGATACGATGACAAATTCCTGATGTTGCCGAAAAAAAGTTACTTTTATCTTACCTCGACGTCAATTCCATCTGGATAATTAATGACGACGAAAAGATTACGGAACGGAGCGCATAGGCGCAGAACGCGACGATCGACGGCGCGGAGAGAGAACGGAAGAGTAAGGGTCATTATCGCGCGCGATAGTCGCGAGAAAATCACCCCAACGAAATCGCGGTCGCGCGTCCACCGCTTTCTACGCCCGCGAATCTTTTTCGGGTGTCTCCGGCCGACGTCGCGCGTCCTCGAACCATTGAACAGGCGTAGCAGGGGCGAACCAGTAAAATCTGGTAATACTGGCTTCACCGGTTAGCCAGTTAGCCGTTGCGACCGCGGTTAGATCGACCGATAGATCGCGAGAAAGGGCGGCCAACGGTTGCTTATATTCGCGCGCGGTCTCTCTCTCTCTCTCTCTCTCTCTCGGTGTGGCCATTGGCTCTTGAATTTATCCCACGTGATACGCCCGCGAAATTTCGCCCGACAAAAGCCGAGGATCGAGACGCAGAAGAGACGCTCTAGTAACATGGGGGTTTCCTTTTCTCTTTGGAAAATTTACAAACGTTTGCGAAGATGGGAAGTTGCGAAAATTTGGGGAATTCAGAATTGTTCGTCCGCTACGTTGCATCGCTCTTTTCGGAAAGCAAACGAATTCGTGCGGATCGGTTGGAAGGGTTGACTAAATTGCACTTCCTGAGATCCGAGATTTGAGAGCCGCTGAGGTGGTCGACGGACACTCCGTGTGCTCGAAGTTAATGCCACTGACCTAAGCTAATCGTATTTTGCCAGGCGAATGGTTTAGAAGCAACCAGAAAGAACCCCGGCCAATGCGTTGAGGCGGAATTCTGCCGCATCATCGTCGACACGGACGCGCAGATACCGAAAAGGCACTTCTCTCAACGTTTAACTGTAAAACTACTCTTTTCTTTTCATCTCATATTCGCACGTGTAATTGGTCCTCGGGAGGTTACGGTAAAGTTACGACCGGCGTAATATCGGCGAATTCTCTCTCTCTTTCCCCCCCCCCCCCTCCAATTCCCGGGGCTTCCCGCTATCGCGAGCAACGATAAGAATCAGTTCCCCGCGCGTTCTTGGCATTGAAATTTCAACTCGACCGAACAGTGCCCTCCCGGCCTTCGGGAATTATAACACCAAAAAAAAAATACAAAGAGAAGTCTCTCGGAATATCTAGATAAGGACGATCGCGCGGAAGAGTCAACGTCTCTGCGGTTCTCTCTCGTCTATTTAATTGCGAGCATCTCGAGAATGCGGGGAGATTAACGTCGCGATTAGATCACAAAATCGGCCGGAAGTCGACAGACAGACGGGAGATTACGAGTCTCTTCATATCGTTCTAATCGCCCGAGTCATCCTCGTATCTATTCCCGGACAATTAATGACGAAAAGGAACAACCACCCGTGCACGGAAGAAAAGAATTAGCTCCCACAGTTGAAAACTAGCTGTTTCCGTGTATGCAATACTACTGAAATTTAGCCGGCAGATCTAGTTTTCAGCCGTGGGAGCTGATTCTTATAATTTTAGCCGTACGAGGAGAAGAGAATCAGCTCCCACAGCTGAAAACTAAGTGTGGTGACTAAATTTCAATTGTGTTAAGCCTGTATCAGACTGCTAATTAGGATTGAGATTGGATTGAAATTTGACCAAAATCAGAGCCAAGTTCACGGGAAAAAGTTTGCTTGAATTTACCAAACAGTGAACACAAACCAAACGTATTTTGGTCGAAGGAAACAGAATTTCCGGTTACAAGAACCAAATTAGGATAATAAGGGCGGGCTAGTCTGTTTTCCTCAACCGAAACGCGTTTGATTTGTCCACCGTCTGAGAAGTTCACCCAAACTTTCTCCCCACGTGAACGAATCTGGTGAACTTCGCTCTGGCCGAGCGAATTTCAATCCAGTCCGAATCCTAATCCGTAGTCCGACACATGCGCTCTTTTCCGCCGAAGCTTCAAACTGAGACATCCACAACTAAGACCCGGCGGAAGAAAGGCATCAGTGCAAACTAGTGCAGCTAGTTCGGTGAAAAAGAACGGGCCCGAAGGCGACTAGTTATCAGCCGTGGGAGCTTCTTTTTCCCACGGATGGGATATCCCCGATCGCAAAATCCCGAGGTCACCCGGCGGCTCCTCGGTAAGTTGAGAACCGGCGGTTCTCGCGGGCACCGGCGTAAAATACAAAATATACAAGGAGCGAGCACCAACCTGGTCGTTGTACAACGCGTACTGCGCCGGAGGCATGTGGGGTGGCGGGTACGGGGGCGGGAACTGCCACGCGAACGGCTCGACCGGATTAGCGGACGGCGTCGTCATCGTGGCCGTCGTCGCTATGGCGTAGACGTGGTGCTCGTCGCAGGTGTTGTTGCCGAGCTCGGTCGACACGGTGGTGGTCGTGGAGATCTGCGTGCAGCAGCCGTCGGGGTGGCCGATCGTCGCCGGCGGCGACGTCGCAGTCTGCACCACCGCCGCCTCGGGGTGCACCGCGCCCGCGCTCGAGTGGTGCTCCTCGCGCTTCCGCAGCTTGCTGCGGACAAGGCGGATCGCGATCATCGTCCCGTTGCTGCCGACCATTTTCCTGCACTTGCGGTACAGCCTCGCGAATCTGCCTATCTTCTTCGCGGCCGCGATCACGGCACCCGGAAGTCGCTCACCGCCGTGCCCGGCGGCACACCAGTTCCCGGGGTTTTCCAGGGTATAAGCGCGCGCCCGCTGTCGCGGAGACTCGCCGAGGATCGCGGACCGAGAGAGGTCTCCCTCGGTCTACGATTTCTCCCGTAACGCGGCTCGACCGCGTGAAACTTCTCTCGAGAGCGACGAAAAAAGCCACCTGGAGATCTGTCTCGCGGTTCCGGGATTCCCGAGAGCTCCGAGTTACAGGACGCGCGACGGTACCGGAGTTTAGTTTAATGTGCGTTCTATTCAAATGCCCAAGGACCCCGAGAGCCTGTCGAGACGCTCAGGACTTCCCTTGGACGAACCGGGGAATTTACAAAGAACGAGGATTACACGAACGTGGATGATTCTCTCTCAGTCTGTATCTCTCTCCCTCTCTTTCTGCCTTCTCTCTTTTTTTCTCTCGGACGATGCAACGTTACACGCCGCGCTGAGCTGTCATCGTGTGAAATCAGCTGTTTCCTCTCTCGTCCCCTCTCTCTCTTTCCACGAAGTGGCGATTCTTCCTCGATCTTCACTCTCCTTGGCGTCGCCCTGCGACCGATCTCAGAGATTTCGGAAACGATCTTCGACCTTCTTTATCTCGGAGATCTCCGCGTACATTAACACGTCTCACAGATAAACACCGATCTTCTCTCTCTTTCCGCACGGACGTGCACGAAAAGCGTCTACCTTCCTCACCGTCAAGATTTTAGCTACGCGTCAGCCTTCTTTCTAGGTTACTCTCTGTCTCCGTCGTACGCGACACGCGTCTCTGCGTCCCGCTCAGTCAAACAGTTGAACGAGCGAACGAAGCTCCGACGACCTCTCTCTCTCTCTCTCTTCCTCTGCTCTTTTCGTTCCTCTCACGACAAGGATCTCACTGTTTTTACACTTGCGCGATATTCGCACTGACTAGCCTCGTGAACCCTTGACACCCGATCATTCGGAAGGACCCTCTCTGATTCTCTCTCTCTCTCTCTTCTTTTCGTCAATCTCTCCTCAGCCACGCGCGTGGACGCGAATCGAAGAAACGGCGCACGGCGTCGTGTCTCACTGCCGATAGGCCGCAGCCGAGGTGGACTCCCGACTACCTGCGCTCGTTCATCGCTCGAAGCCAGCGCGCATCTGAGCGCCGGCACCGCGCGCGACGCCTTTTGTACCGCGCGATGACGTTACGGGCGCGCGCGCCCGCGATTGGCGAGCGCTCCGAGCGGCGGCCAATCGCCGCCGCGGCGAAATTCGAACGGTACACGTCGCCCGTCCCGCACACCTCGGCGCTGTCGTCACAGTTGTCGCGCCAGTCGCGCCGGAAGGCCGACCAGCGGACATGCGCCCCTACGACGCGTAACCACGACGCATAACCGACGCGGCACGGCGCGGCACGACGTCCGTGGCCTCTTGTTTCATCGTCGCAGCGCGTCGCCGTTTTACTCGTTGCATGTGTGTATGCGCGCTCGCGCACACGCCTCTCTTGTTCTCTCTCTCTCTTTCTCTTTCGTCGCATTGCGATGTACTGCGATGATTAGCGAAATGTATTCAACATTTAATCGCCCCGCGTACTCGGCAAGGGAGATTCACGAGCGTTCGAATGAAGGTCGTTTTTCCTTTTTTTCTCTCTTTCTCTCTTTCTACGACGACCCGAGCAAGGATATTGACGCGTGACGCGCGCTTCGGCTTTATCAGCTTTATATCAAAAAGTTCGTGACGTATCTGTACGATTTGTACCGCGCAGTTTCGTAATCCGCGGCTTAAAGATGTACGAGGGGAAGAGGGGGAGAAGAGGGGAACGCGGATAGTCGCATTCTCTTCCGATTTATTTAGTATCTCTCCCTCCTTTGTCCCTAAGGCCGACTTTGCTCTAGCTTGCCGCTTATTAAAATCAGACGGGGCGAAATGAGGGTTGAATTGAAATTAATCTCGATTAGTCGAAGGCAAGTGAAACTTAATCGCGCACGAAATGCGCGCGCTGCGAGAGAAAAAAAAGGCGCACGATGTCACGCGTAACGAAATTATGTAAGAGCCGCGGCAGAAAAGAGCGTATCCGAATGAAAAGTGAATAAAAACGCAAATCGATGCATAAAAATGTCGAATAAACGGCGTCCAAAATAACACCTGTGGCGCAAATGAATGAAATCAACACCGACGAAGTCGAATCATTGGTCGTCGACAAAAAGGTAGGAATTAACGGAGCTCAAGTTGGATCAGCGCGAATAACGCGAAGTCGAACGAGATCGCGTGTAATCTAAATGTGTAGTTGAATTCGGTGAAAACAACGATCAGGTAGTCCGAAAAGGGGGGGGAGGGGGCAATCGCGAGGGGGGATCTACGCTGAATCGCCCGGGGCTTATCAGACCGCGATAGGAAATAATAATTTAGAGCCGGCTGTGTATCCGCGATTATGCAACACACGGCGATTGTAACGGCGCCTTTATTACTTCACAATGCGCGCGCGTAGAGCTCTCCTCTGCGCTACACGTGCGGCGTTCGCGCTGACTTAAGAATAATAGCGAGCAAGGCCCTCATCTATCTCTCGGTCGCGCACAAGCTGCCCCTTTACGTACACTGTATCGCGGAGTCTCTCGAATTACATTGCATTAGATGAAACGGCTGAAAGCGAAGCGAAACAGAAGAGGTTGAACTTCAGCCGCGCTATTTAATTTAATTTAATCGTACGAACAGCAGGAGCGGGATGCAGCACGGAATAAAATGTAATGAAAGGGACAAGGACGGTATTGTGATCTTGACTGTGAGATTGTTGAATTAAAAATTGCATTAAAGATCGTTGTTAAATTAAGAATTACGTTAAATTGAACCGAATTGAATTAAGTTAAATTCAACCGGATCGAATCGAATGAAACTGAATTAAATTACACGGAGAATCGGGTTAAAAATAAACGGGAGCGAGGCGCGAGANAAAAAAAAAAAAAAAAAAAAAAAAAAAAGAGGGGGGGGGGGGGGGGGGGGGAGAGCTTTACCATCGATTTTCTTTCAGATATACTAGATTAAATCGGGCGTAACAAAAGAATGCTCGAGATAAGAAAGGCGAGTAATCTCGGCTGATCCGCGTTCATTCAAAATCTATTCTCGTGCGTGACCGCGCAGATAGGAGATTCCCGTTTCTTAGAGCCGGCCGTCATAGTTTCTTCCACCTCCTCGGGATTTTTCACGCGACCGCTGTGATGCCGATAGAACGGGGAAGGATCTATCAATCCGATTATCGGCGTCTCTCGGCTGCGACGCGATAACGCGCGGGTGAATCACGCGCGCGGTCGCGATTCAAGCGCGCGAACAAAAGTGAGCGGGATGACAATGAACCCTGATGTATTTTCGCGGAAAATTGAAAAGGCCGAATTTATTCCAGCCGACAGCACCACGCCGGCTGCGTTGCCGGCGCTGCTGCTGCCACTCAAGCGACAAGAAGCCTTGTTTACAGGTGCGACAGGTGATCCGGGATCGTAGATCACTTCGGTTTGCTCATTCGTCAGCTGATAAACAAGGTCGAGTCCCAGACAACGTGACTGCCGTCTTACATTTTGACAATTTGCGCGAGCATAAATCTCCCCGAGAACGAGAGCTCCTATCAAAAACGCGCGGAAACGCGATAAACGGCCGTAATAACGGCGCGATAATAACGTTTAATATCGTGAAATAGTCACTCGATGACGACGATATTTTTCTAATCTTATTCTGACCCCCCCGATCTTTCGCACTCCCTCGTTTTGCCGAGATTCAGACGCAGAGAGAGAAATGGCTCTCTCGTTAATATCTTCGCGTTAAACGCAAGAGAAAGAACACGGCTCTCCGCGTGACGCGGTGAAAATTCTCGCGAAAAGACGCGATCGCTTTTAGCGCCGCGGCGAGAATAGAAGCGTCTCGAGTTTCCAGGCAGTTGTCCAAGATTCGTGGGATAAAGCAGAAAAATCTCCAAGTACCCGATATCGAGTATGCATCTATCTTTGCGCGGCCGATAATCGATCTCGGCGAGGATTCCGACGAACGTTATCTACCGTGACGTCTCTCCGTAATATCCAACATTGTCTGTTGTCTGATTAAGCTTGCAAATAGATGTTTCATCGGTGTTTCACTTGAAATCCTTTTGCTCTGCATGATTAACGATTAAATCGACACAACGTTGCGATATCCTGTCGATGTACGTCGAACGGCAAGAGCTTTCGCACACTGATTGTAGTATAACCGTAAATGTAGGACTAGTAAACTTTAGCTGAAGAATCAGACGGAATATTGCTTTAGGATTGTCCTATCTGGAAGAAGACAGAAATGACCATAGAAATGACCACGCGGAAAAATTATTACTATTTCGAGACTCATATTCTTATATTTACAAGCAAGAATATGTCGTATTTTCTGAAGATAAAACTTGCTCTTACATGAAGAAATTCTATCTAGTTCCATTAAAAATATATATTCATGTTATTCAAGAACAATTTTCATGAATTGGGAGCGAGACATATTGGATAGATAGATCGATATCTTCAAACTAAGGATTGTATCAGCTTGATGATATCGTGCTTTAATATAAGATATATAAAGATCACATAAGATATAAGATCATATAAGATATAAAATCATATCAGATTATATATATTCATTCATTCATTCATATATATTTATATGAATCTTATTTATATAGAAAATATGAATTGATACTAACTTTGAATTGATATTAACTTGGTTTTTCGTATAGGATTCTGACCGAGTAACTAGTTTCATCGTAATTTTGCCATAAATTTATAAATAATTCAATTGGAATAAGTGAATATATATATATATAAATGATTAAAGCATAGAATATATATATATATATAATTAAAACAGATAAATATTTATACAAAACTTCAGAATTGCGTGCCTTAAGTTTTTTCCAAAAAAAAGGTCTAAAGACCTACAAAACGACGTTTTAAACGAGAAAAAAACCCCTTTAAGAGCGTCAAAGCAGCGTCAAAATTGCCACTCCGAAATGCTCTGATTGGTTCTTCAGCTTGAGTTTACGTCTTACATTTACGATTACGGCGATTTACATGCGAGAGCCCTAAAAATTCCCTTTCCGTCCGAACGTGTCCCGAGAGAGAAAGAGGAGACGAGTCTCCTCGCGAGGACAGCGTCTCGACGGTGTCTCGCGACGACGACGACGACGACGACATTCCGGTGAAGAACATCCGAAAGGGAAGCGAAATACACATGAGCGGCCACGCGTCGCGTCGCGCCTTTATCTCTATTTCCGTCCGGTGCCGCACGCGCACGCCAGACGTTTGTGCGCCGTTTTCAGCACGCGTCTCGACGCCACGCGACACCGTCGCGAACGGACGGACGCTTTCGAGTTTTCCTCCTGTTTTCCATGTCCGCTCTCGCCTGCATTTCGCACGCCTCGCGTCTCTTCGTGTCTTTTCTATGCCTTCGAGGCGTCCCGACGCCGCGGGAACGATTGGATTTTCAACATCGCCAGATGTCTTCGAGAGGATGCGCGACCACGTTGATCGTATTTGTGGAATTCTGCCGAAATACTCGCGTTCGTTATATCGAGCGACGATATATATACATCGTTGTTGTAATGTACACAGAACGGGCAAATTTTGGCGACTTGAGTGAAAGAGAGAGATAGAGGGGGAGCAAGAGACAGATGTATATAATCGATCTGTCTGGCAGCGACAATTGTTTGTATGAAATTTGCGGAACATCGAACGTTCGGGTCAATAAACCTGTATCGTTTGCAAATATCGTGATCGCGGAGGAAGGGAGGGGGAGGGAAAAACTGACGGATAAATCCCCGATAAGCAGACGTCGCCGTCTTCGCGCGCGCGTCGCCCGGATAATCCGCGAGAATTGACGCGACGCGCACGAATCGGCACGTGAATCGCGTGTTTACGCCGACGAGGCTCGAGGAGCGATGCGACGAAAACGGATTAAGCGCGAGGATTATTCAATTCGACCGTCGGATGTTATTTTTAACATGAAAGAAGTCCGTTCGACTCGGCATGAATTAATTCCTAACGCTCGCGCTTCCGCGATGATACTCGTTTCTTTTTGTCAGGAGAATGCACAGGGGTGACTTTCACCGAACTAATCGATGATCAACCGGCGAAATCGCCAACGGCAACCTCTAGCCGTGTAATTTGCCGCTCGACAATAATCACAAAACGAATGATGCTATATGTTAGCAAAATAAGGCACAATGAGTGAATGTTTGATGGAGGATCAAGTATAAGTTAAAAAGAAAGGACAGGAGAATTTTTCCTTCTCACTTTAAACCTTTAATGACAAAACGGATTTTCAAGGCGTCAAAACGAGTTTCAAAGTGTTTACCGCAATTCTTTAAAAACAGTTAGTAAACTTTATTATATTTTTTTCATCTATAAATCGACAGGGGAAGAAATTTCATGTTATTGCTTACTTTTCTTACTCATTTTGTGGAATACATGGACCAAAAAGAGCATAGAGTCGGATTTCACCTTATCATTAGAGAGTGAATAACAAACTATATTTTGTTTTCCATGTTGGCGATTCCGCCGGCGAATCGTCGATTAATTTGGTCAGAAATTGATGAAAGTCATACCGTAAAAATATCATTGAAAAATTCGGCGAAAGGATTCCACGAAGGCGTAATGGTCTCTTTTTTTCGGCTTATCCCTCTCGCGTTTCGCGAAGTACAATGCAGGATGCACGATATCCTGCGTAACAGGATACGGGAATAATGCTTAATCGACGTCGTTGTTAATCGAGTTAAACGGGAAGAAGAGAAGAAGAGAGAGAGGGAGGGCGGGAGAGAGAGAGAGAGAGAGAGAGAGAGAAAGACTCGGTCAGTTGGCCTTAATTGGCGGCGATTTTCAGCGCCTGATTCGTCGATGCGAGTCCAATTAGCGAACCCAATTATCGCGCACGTCTTCGTCACGCGAAATTATTCCGTTCGTCGCTATTTTCCATCCACGCCCGTTTTCCTCCGTCTTGGTGTCGCTCTTTTTACGTCACTCGCGAGGCTGTACCGTCAGACACTTAGTATCTAATGCGGGTTATCAAATTAGTATCATTAATGACTCAACACATAATGAACGAGATGATACACACGACGTGATGACCGAGTAAAAAATATAGCTATTGTATGACCGTGCCATACACGCTTATCTTGAAAAAGACGCGAATGATCGAATTCCTTTCGTAGGGAGAAACAAATAAAATATTATATATAAAATAAAATAATAACAAATCGACAAAGAGGAAAGATCCGTTGCAATTTAATCGATATAGGGCTATCATGACACTAGATCTCGAAAATTTCCGATTTGCGTTATCGGTGACATGTTCGCGCGTATCTCTGTTATTTTTTAAGCGATAAGAACGAACTACTACTGAGAGTGAATTGCTAATTTCGAGTTTCTCGCGCGATAAATCAAAGAGTCGACAGCCGATCCGGTCTTTAAACCCATATCGGACATTATTATGATAATGAATACAACTTATCTAAGGCACTAAGCAATAATGTAATCAAGATGCGGTAATTAGCACATCAAGTGGCGCAACTTACGAAGAAATCACGTCAGAGTGACTTAACGACGATTATTTCGTGATGATTAACGACGATTATTTCGTAATGATTATTTCGTGACATGGCTTATAGCTTTGTTCATGACAATGTCAATGACAGGGGAATACTCTATGATAAAACGGCATACTCACCTGATCGTTACGGCCAGCAGGACGATGATGACGCCCACCAGGACCATAGCGATCAGCACCCCACATATCATGTAAACACTGTCGGTGGGCGGATCTGTAAAAAAGAGAAGATTGTTTTGCTGAGCTTATTCGGCACGGAAGCGAAATTAAGAAGATAAAGGAGAAAACATACATTTCTCATCAAATTCATGGTTTCAAGGATATATCAAAGTCATAAAAATTCTTAAGTAACATGATGTCGTGCAGAAGGAAGTATTAAGATGTGCGATATGTACACTAAGAGAGGAAGAACTTAAGAAATGAAAATTATTTATTCGACAAGTACTAATAATATCGTTTATTTATATTGATATGCATACTTTTACAATGAGAAAAAATTGTCTCCAAATAGGAAAATACACGTATTTTCTGAAATCTATAATTTTTCACGTTTTACGAAAATAATTATTTATTTTATTTAAACAAAAGAATTGAGATTTTAAATATCCCAGGATATACCAACTGACAATAACATTAAAACAATGTTATAATTTCTCACTCAACAATGTAACTGTTATACACATATGTCATATTGCACTTGTATTGTTGCATGAGAAATTATAACATTGATGTAATGTTACTACTAGTTGGTGTTTACTGAAATATTATTGATACTTACCGAATAAATATTTTTTTATTTTTTAGATATTTCCTCTTGATGTATTTCTTAATATATGATGTTAGATGAATATTTTAAAAAGCGAATGTAAGTATCGAAGGAACAACCCGAAGAATTGGACATTCGAGTATCTAGAAATTCGGACAGCTGAAGATTTAAGTGCTCAAGAATTCCGATGTCTGAAAATTTAAGTACCGAAAATTCGACTATTTGCTTCAAGGATTGAAGGATATGAAGATTCGAGCGCTCTCACTGTTTGTGAACTGACAAGGATGCTCCGAAGTCACACAGCGGTCATGATGGAATGAATATACAAAAATAATGTCCAATTCGAGATTTTATCGAATGAGACAACCTTTCCGTCCACAGTTGTAATTTCGTGACGATATTAATCCAACCTTAATTTGATAGAAGCGGGAAGCCCGGTAAAATAATCGATATGAACCATTTTCATTGCGAATGGAATCCAGATTGAGGGAGGACGAGGATGGCGGTGGACCAACCGAGAACGAACTCGTCCGGCCGAGGAGGGTCGTCCTCTCGGCCGACGAAGGCCGAGCCACATTTTTCCCCGGCTTTTCTTGCCGCGAAAGAAGAAGAACTCGTCGTCCTTTCAAGTTCAATGCCACCTCCGAGCCCGACCTGGCGCAAAAGGGACCGCGGTAAGGGCGCCACCGCGGCGCGAGCCGTCTGCCGCTTCTCAAAACCGGCCGAATCGTCTCTTGACTTCTCTCGCGCAAGTGGAGATCGAGCGAATATACGCAGTATCCTGCTGGAACATCTCAAGAGAGAGAGAGAGAGAGAGAGAGAGAGTCGGTGAGAAGCGCGAAAACACGAACAGCTTCGCGTGACTAACTCGCGCAAACAATGCGCACACAAACACCTCACGCGGCTGAGGTTTATTTCGAGTGCGTTGTATATATAAATAAAATACGCTTCGATAATCAATAAACAATTTCTGTCGTGGTCCCGATGGGAAAATAAACGACACAATCGCGTTTCTCAATCCGCACCCCCGATCCGCATACAGAAAGAAAAAGTGCTCGATTCAAGTAAATAATTACTTCAATATTCCTTGGCAAATTTTTATTTGGATCAGGTAACATTTGATCTAAGTGAAATGTTTTCTACGTAAATTATCCGAATAAAATATTTATACTTAATCTAAAAATTTACTAAAGAATATTGGTATGTTGGAGTAATTATTTACTTGAATGTGGCACTTCTTTTCTGTCCATAGAAAATTCAGATCTAACTTGGATCCAGTCCGATTTCCCGAAATAATTCTGAATTCTAGTTGGAAAATCTATGCAAGTCCTGATTAAAAGTTTATCAATCTTCTAGTCTGATGTTCGATCAAACTGTCATTCGACTGACGATAGTCGCACGTGGCACGAAACAAGCTACGAATCAATTTCGATTACCTGGGTACCCAAGTCAATAACTGAGTACACAGCTAATTTCAGACGTTATTATTATCTGTTAGAAAATTGATCGTCGTTAGAAAAGTCGATCATTTATTAACATTTGAAATTATTCAGTTACTGAAAAAGTACCCGGATATTCGGGTATTTGGATAGTTGAAATTGATAGCACTGGTGCAGAGAATTATAAACGCTTTTTTCCATAATATAAGTATGCGCAAAAATTTATTGGAGCATTGCTCAATATATAAGAAACGGATAAAAAATTTCAAGATTGACATCTTTAGCTGTCGGTTAGTACAGATATTTATCTGATACAGAAACCACTATATCTTGTACGTACCAAGTAATTAATCCAAATAGAAAAGTTTCAGAGGACATTTTTTACCTTTTCAATCAAATATAGAGGTCCGTAAAGATACGAGAAGTTCGCAGAAAAATTTTTATACATCTTTGTTAAATTGTTGGTTTAATTGTTCGTTAAATATGGTAAAACATAATAGCACACATTCATCGCGTTCACATTTATGTCGCATTTACACTTACGTAAGAATCTATATGTACAAGAAATGTAAAAAGATTAGCGTGATTATGTCAGTGTTTATGTAACATAACATTTTGAAGATCGCTTCTACGCTATCGATGCTTATCAAGTTCGTCATTGACTTTGGCATCATCTTAATCTCACAGATAGTGTGTAATATTAACGCATTCGCAGCCGCTGATGTAGCGGTACGTCTTTTCATAAACTAAACTTGATTGCCGTCGACGTACTACTACATCTTTTGAAAATCTATAGCTGGTTGTCTCTGACGTAGTCAATATTGCGTTTTCTTATATTTTTAACCCAAATGAATCAAAATGAATCTTAACGGAATTGAAACTAGTTTTAACTTGAAAATAAAAAAAATTTGTTTACGTATGCAAGTATTGCAGAATCACCTTACACAAAGACAAATGTTTTCAACATTCTTACAAAAGAGAAATATTAAATTGCATTTTTATGCAAAAATATATAATTAATTTTCTTTCTATTTAATAATGTTTAATTAGCTTTATTTTCATGTAAAAAATATTCAATTTATTAAAATATGTGTGATCAATTTTAAAAGGTTTTTTAATTTTAACATTTCCTATGTTCATAATTTGATATTTTCTCTCGGATTTGTAATAGGTAAATTTTCTTTAATTTTAAATAACAAATAGTTATAAACATGATGTCTCAAAGCAAGTTTCACAGCTTTATTTTCATTTTAATGATAGAAGTCTGCGGCAACCAGCTACAAATTTAAGTTTGTTGTGTACGACTTCCGGAAGAAAATTGAAAAAATTACCAGCTTGCGAAAGTGTTAAATATCGCGAACATAAAATAAAAACTATAAAAACGATACCGACGAACCGCTTCGAAAATTTTTAAGGAAACGTCTCTTCCGAATTCGCTAGAAACGCTAAGTTACAGAAAAAGATCAGTCGAAACAACTTGAATCGAGTTAAACAAACTCAACGTCAGGACTGAATACGGCGAACCGATACTGCGCCAATATTTTCAGCAACGCTAGACGTCCACTATTAATTTCTTTCGTATCAAATTAGTCCACGATTTAGTTCAACGAGAGAGATCGATGAGATCGCAAAGCTGACTCGACAACACATTACCGGTCGTATTTATCATTTAATTTGCTTAATCTCCCAACCGGAGGTAGAATCGCTCGCATTGTGCGGTTGGATCAATCTCTTGATAGTTGAAGGAACATCCATATCGTACAACCACGTTCACACAACCACGTTCCAGTCTCGCCGACTAAATTTTACAGTTCAGATTCCTGCATCAGATCGTCGATTTAACTCGATTTTTGTCGAGTTTGACTCGAAAGATTACGGTTTTTTGCAAAAAAAAAAAAAAATAAAATTGTGTAACTCTGAAACTCGGTTCTTTTTACGTTCAGGACAGGCCAGACGGGACTTCCTGTCGAAAACTGCGACGTTTCGCACTCAGCTCCAGCTTGGTGCCTTTGTGATAATTGTTTGCCACGTCGATTCGCGGGGGGGAAGGGAGGTAGTTTCGCAGGCGCGTGTTTCGTAAATCACCGTAATATCCTGATCGTCATGATCGTCGACGGCGGTGGCATCGGTCTGCTCACGGATTGTTTGGAAGCTGTCCAGTTAACTGCGTATGTACGACACAGTCGCAAACAGAGCACAGGTTGCCGTCAGCTGACGCCGTTGGCAGACTCCGTAGTTACCTCGGCGACTCTCTTTTTCGGCCTCGCCCGGATATAATCGTCGGGGCGTTTCAGGAAATCCAAACGCGCTCGCGTCACCTGCGAGGACGCGGGACCAATTTTAGGCGCGCATGAAGCCGTCAAAACACGTCAGGACGCGTGATCGATCATCGGGAGCTGCGTCGCCGAGGCACTTCGGGGAAGTCGAGCTCGGAGTCGTCTCCGAGGACGACTCCGATCGATTTGCGCGAACGGCGAGGGGACGTCGTCGTAGTTGAAATATTTCGAGAAAATCATGCGATTTATACTGTATACACACGGAATACGGAGAGTTAAATTTAGAAAACACAAAGTGGAAGGAGAGAGAGTAACAGAGGAGCAGAGTCAAGAGCAGCGCCTCAAGGCTCCGATCTTAATTTAAAAAAATTGCAACATGAAATCGTTATCTTTAATGTTAAATATCGGATTAGTCGTCAAATTAGTGTGTTCTAAAGATCACAGTAATGTAATTAAACATTTAAATTATATACGATAGATGTAGAACAAAAGGGTGAATCTAATCATAAAAGAAGTGCTAAATATTAAACAGCAATTTAAAAATAATTTTAAATGTATATATACACAGAATGTTAATACGAAAGTTCGTGCTTACGATTTATATAGCGCTGTTTCTTATCCATTAAAGTGAAAATTGAAATTAACTAAAAATCAAATCGAAAAATACCAAACTATTTTTTTCTGTGATTCTTAATGATGAAAATATTATTAAATAGAATTCAATCAATCATAC